CACAGCGCACACAGCCGTGGTGGTCGTGGACACGGGGCACCGTGGCAGGACAGCACACAGCGCACACAGCCGTGGCGGTCGTGGACACGGGGCACTGTGGCAGGACAGCACAGCACACAGCCGTGGTGGTCGTGGACACGGGGCACTGTGGCAGGACAGCACACAGCACACACAGCCGTGGTGGTCGTGGACACGGGGCACTGTGGCAGGACAGCACACAGTGCACACAGCCATGGTGGTCGTGGACACGGGGCACTGTGGCAGGACAGCACGCAGCCGTGGCAGGACAGCACACAGCGCACACAGCCATGGTGGTCGTGGACACGGGGCACTGTGGCAGGACAGCACACAGTGCACACAGCCATGGTGGTCGTGGACACGGGGCACTGTGGCAGGACAGCACACAGCGCACACAGCCGTGGTGGTCGTGGACACGGGGCACTGTGGCAGGACAGCACACAGCACACAGCAGCACAGTGCACACACCTTGTGGTGGTCGTGGGCGTGGCGGTCACCTCACTGCCCGCTTCAGCTGTAGTGGGCGGGGGAGGAGGCGTGGTTCCAGGAGGTGGTGGGGCGGTGGTGGTCACTCCGGGGGAGCTGGACACGGTCACTCCAGCAGGAAGGGTGCTGTAGTAGGTGGCCACATCAATTCCTGGAGGCGGCGGCGCCAGGCAATAGGTGCCATCTGGTAACATGTAGTAGCTGTAGTACATGGCAGCCACAGTCGCTGTAAGACACACAAGAATCAAACATGGCGTCTCCTCTGCATCCCCAGCCACTCCGATACCCAGTGCACATGATCCCTCGGCCCTCAGTCTTCCGATAGGCTGGGACCACAGGTGCACACCACCATTCCTGACTGGGGTAAGGTGTGAAGACAGATCAATATATTATTCTGATACACGTACTTACTGAGCAAGCAAAACCTGACTCCAGTGAACCAGAGAGAGATGTTTTCTAAAAGTACAGTGGTACATGGACAATGAAGTTACGGGAAGTGGGAGGGACGCTCAGAGCTTCTCCCCAGACTGGGGCTGCTTACCATCTTGAGACAAGAGGGGAAACTGCCCCAAAGGAAGAGAATAGCCAAAGGCCGGGATAGACACCTGCCAGGAGCGGGGGCTGGGCGCTGTCCTGCTGGCCTCAACCTCAGACTGAAATCCTGGCCGACCAGACCACATCCAGACCCGGGACCTCTTCCTGCCCAGTTCCCTCTCTAATTATCACTCATGTCTGTACCTTGGAGAGAGCTGAAGGTTTACTGCAGTCTGTTTATTAGGTGACTATAAGTGACGTGGATCTGACATGTCTACAGATTGGGCCAAGGGCCCCAAACCTCTGGTTTCAAGGGGAGAAAGGAAGTTAAGGTTTGTTTTCCATGGGGTCTGGGAATGAAATACAGGACCCAATGCACTGAGCCATCCCCAAGCACGGAAGTTATTTTATTTTTCCAAGTTTTTATTAGCAATGTGTGTGCGGGGGGGGGGGGGTCTGCATTATTTCTACACATGCATTTAATGTAACTTGACCATTCACTCCTACTACCCTGCAGTTATCACGCCTTTAGGTCTAGTTCTCACATACAAGGAAGCGTGGTATCTGTCCAAGTCTGGTTTGCCTCCATCTATTTTTCCTACAAATGGCGTAATTTAATGGCTGAACAATACCACATAATGTGGGTATGCATGTCTATGCTGTGTTTTCTCTGCTCACTCATCTACAGAAGAGTATCTAGGCTGATGGCTGGCACAGGCTGGCTACTGTGCAAGGTGTGCTGTGACACCACAGGGCTGTGCAGGTCTCTGTTGGGCGCTCAGAGTGGTACGGAAGGATCTTGAACAAGTTCTACTCTTAATATGAGGAACCTCCGATAAATCTCCATACTGGAGACACAATTTACATGTCTTTTTGTGCAGTATATCAGGGTCCTCCTTCCCAGGGCACAGTGTATGCTGGTATAGTGCCTGGACTTGCTGGGCAGCCATACAACTACTGAGCCACACCTTCGGCTGATGGGAGCCATCTGAATTGGATCTCTATCTGCATTTCCTTTTTTTTTTTTTGGTCAGTCATGGAGCTTGAACTCTGGGCCTGAGCGCTGTCCAGCTTGCATTTCCTTTATGGCTAAGGAAGTTAACATTCAGGTAAGATACTTTACAAGGACCAATCTCCTCTACTTTCACAGTCAACAGTGCTGAGTATAAAACTCAAGCCGGGGGCCGGTGGCTTACACTTGTCATCCTAGCTACTCAGGAGGCTGAGATCTGAGGATCACAGTTAAAGCCAACCCGGGCAGGAAAGTCTGTGACTCTTATCTCAAATTATCCACTAGAAAACTGGAATTGGCGCTGTGGCTCAGGCGATAGAGCACTTGTGTTGAGCTGAAGAGCTGAGGGACAGCGCCCAGGCCCAGAGTTCAAGCCCCATGACTGACCAAAAAAAAAAAAAAAGTAACTAAAAGACAATGATAACCTCTTAATGTGCTCCAAATCTTTTATTCTTCCATAAAGAGGTCTTTCAGGGCTGAATTCTTGCATTATGAAACAAATTTTTACTTGCAGCTCAGGCATTACTTCACTGTGACTTCAGACTATTGCTGATTCCTGTCTCAGGCATGAGTCTCTCAGGGGCAGTCTTATAAAGAAGGCCTTCCAGTCCCTAGCCCGGGCTCTCCCTTCTTTCTGGTGACAAGGGCACTTCATTTCTACCTTCCTCACACGAACACCAAGGATGCCAGTGCACTTACTTCCTGGCCTGCCCTCTCTTCTCCTCCCTTCCTGACTTACAATGAAGTTATTTTTAAAAAGAAAATGCCATAACCAACAGAAAAGGCACACTTAAAAGACTGCAAAACAAGAAAAAAAATCTAATCTAGCCACACGAAATGATTTAATTTTCACTTCTATCCTTTTTAGAATAAAGCACTGTACCATTACAAAACCACTGTGAGCTGTACAATGGGCAGCATGTTACCATTGCTGCATCCAGGATGATCTTATTATCCTTTTCTGCAAGAATTTATTGCTGAACAGCAGAAGACAAATAATAAAAAGTAAAAAGCTTCAAAATAGCTCACTGTAAGGCTAAAAAATGGAAATTGCTAATTTTACTTATCTATATCTAAAGAGCTTCTAGAAGACACTTTTGTGTGCACATGTGTGCATGTATGTGTGCACATGCATGAGCTGGCTGATCCTGGGCTTGAATTCAAGGACCAGGCACTGTCCCTGAGAGTTTACCATTTGAGCCACAGCTCTATTTCTGGCTTTTTGGTGGTTAGCATCTCATGGACTTTCCTGCTGAGAGCTGGTTTCCAACCGTGATCCTCAGATCTCAGCTTCCTGAGTAGATAGGATTACTGGTATAAGCCATGGGCATCTGGTTAAGAAAGAAATCCTTTAAAATAAAAATAGATGGTCTTCCCAGCCTGCCATATTAGTAGAAAGTAAATCACAAGGAGTGTCGGAGTATGCCCTGGGACTAGTGAACACCAGGGGGCTGCAGCAGAGGGAATGCAGATGCGGCAGGGCCAGGCTGCATGCAAGCTCTACAGAAATAGGCCGAGAAAGTACTCCTGATACCAACAATATATCAGACAAGGGGTTAACATCCTGTATATACAGGGAACTCAAGACACTAATCCCTCCCAAACCTAACAAACCAATCACTAAATGGTCAAGGGAACTAAAGAGGGACTTCTCAAATGAAGAAATAAAAATGGCAAAGAAACACATGAGGAAATGTTCACCATCCCTGGTGGTGAAGGAAATGCAAATAAAGACAACCCTGAGATACCACCTTACCCCAGTCAGAATGTCCCACATCCACAAATCAGCCAACGACAAATGCTGGAGGGGATGTGGAGAAAGAGGAACCCTATTACACTGCTGGTGGGAATGTACACTTATACAACCACTTTGGAAAACAGTCTGGAGGGTCCTCAGAAAGCTAAATATTGACCTCCCTTATGACTCAGTCATACCACTTCTAGGCATCTATCCTGAACAACAGGAACCAGTATACAAGGACACGTGCACCTCCATGTTTATTGCAGCACTGTTCACAATAGCCAGGATATGGAAACCCAGATGCCCCACCACAGATGAATGGATCCAAAAATTATGGTATCTATACACAATGGAATATTATGCAGCCATTAGAAATGACAAAATAATGGCATTTGCAGGGAAATGGATGGGGCTAGAAGGAATCATGTTGAGCAAGGTAAGCCAAGAGCAAAGAGACAAACGGTACATGGTCTCACTGATAAGTGGATGTTAAATCCAAAATGTTAGGTGATACGACAAAACTAACAGAAGAAACAAAGGACTTCCACTCATCTGGTCGAAACACTACTAAATAACCCCATGCTGCTGATCACATGTATGGTATATGTGTACACCGAAGGGAAACCAGGAAGACGACACAGAACTAGAGGGAATCAGGGAAAAACATACAACAGTGGGACCCATCAGCTGCATTGGACACTGACCAAAATGAACTAAGCAACTTAATGGCAGCAATGGGAGGGAGGGAACAAGTGGGAAAGAGGGAACAGCTGATGCTATGCAAAACAAAAGAGATGTACATACCACCCAATGTGGAAGAAATAACTGCATTGCAAAGCTCTTAGAACTCATAAATGTTATAGACCGTGATAGACAATTTGCTCCAGGAAAGTTAGAATGTGTTTGTGACTTTAACTGAGCATCACTATCCCACAGTACTGTGAAATTTGGGAAATTACGTAACTACTTAATCACAATAAAAAATTTGGAAAAAAAAAAAGAAAGAAAGTACTCCTGAAACAACATATTAAAACCACAGGCCATGGGCTGGGAATGGGGCTTAGTGGTGAGTGCTTGCCTAGCATGCATGAAGCCCTGGGTTCCATTCTTCAGTACCATATAAACAGAAAAAGCTGGAAGTGGTGCTGTGGTTCAAGTTGTAGAGTACTAGCCTTGAGCAGAAGAAGCTCAGGGACAGCGCCCAGGCCTCTTTGAGTTTAAGCCCCAGGACTGGCAAAAACACCACCACCACCACCAAAAAACCCACAGGCTAATGTGGCTGATGGCTCTTACCTGTAATCTTAGCTACTCAGGAGGCTGAGATCTGAGGATCATGGTTTGAAGACAGATCCCAGCAGGAAATGTCTGTGAGCCTTTTTTTTTGGCCAGTCCTGGGCCTTGAACCCTGGATCTGGGGGTGATATCCCTAAGCTCCTTTTTGCTCAAGGCTAACACTCTACTACTTGAACAAAACACCACTTACAGCTTTTTCTGTGATTAATTGCAGATAAGTCTTATGGGCTGGCTTCAAACCATGATCCTCAGATCTCAGCTTCCTGAGTAGCTAGGATTACAGGGGTGAGCCACTGGCACCTGGCTCCATGAGACTCTTCAATTAACCACCAAAAAGCCAGACATGGAGCTGTGGCTCAAGTGGTAGAGTGCTAGCCTTGAGCACAAAAGCTCAGGGGCAGCAGCAGGCCCTGAGTTCAAGCCCAAGGATTGGCACGGGCACGCGCGCGCACGCACACACACACACGGTATAAGCAACATACATTTGGAAAGATCTAGAAAATGAAGAACAGTATGCTGGGAACAATGAACTATAATGCCGTTCATCTTGGAGCTGATGCAGGAGTGAGTATCTGAACTTCACAAACCTCATGTCAAGCATGCCTGCTGAAAATAGGGTGAACGTTTTTTGGCTACAAAAAGCCCTTTTTCCCCCATGTCCTTCCCTCAGTGTATAAAAAAAGGGGAGAGGGGAGAGGAGGAAGAAGGGGAGGAGGAAGAGGATTCAAGGCCTGGCTTGAGGGAGGAGGAGGATTCAGGGCCTGGCTTGAGGGAGGAGGAGGATTCAGGGCCTGGCTTGAGGGAGGAGGAGGATTCAGGGCTGGCTTGAGGGAGGAGGAGGATTCAGGGCTGGCTTGTGTGCCCCTGGGTCGGACGGAGGCTCTGCAGCTTATCTTGGCCAGGGAGCCCTACCACGCTCTCTCAAACACACAGCTCTGGGATGTTCATACTATCATGGTTTGGCTCCAGTCACTGTCTCCACCAGGCCGTGGATACATCACAGAGTGGCCACACTCAGCCTGGTCCGTCCAGGGTCATCCTGCAGGGGCTAAGCGTACACTGCGGCACTGAACAAACACTGCCAACAGGCAAGCATGGTCACGCGGCTTACACTCCATCTGGTTGCCTGCTACAGAGAAGACAGTTCCACCTGTGGCACCCACACGCTTCCTGTTTCCTTCTGTCAGAACCTGTCTTGGACATGTTCTAGTCAGAGGCACTGTCCACTCACACCCACTGGCTCCCTATAGCCACTGGACTGGTGCCAAAGGAAGATGCAGATAAGCAGAAGTTGGGCTGCTTCCTCTTTGGCCAGCATGCCCCAGCCGACTACCTGCCTGGTGGAAAGAGCACCTCCCCTGCAGGGGAGCACGGAGGACCACACTGGTACGCTAAACGCTCTTCCCTCACTTCAAGTGACTGCTTGAACACATACATCAAGGTTTACAGTCAGTTAATCACTTCAAGTCATTAAAAAGATAAGAGAATCGAAATAAACGTAATTCTGCAGTGCATAGTAAAGTTGGCTCTGTGTCTCCTCCAGCTCGATACCCACAATTCTACCCACCTTGGGTTGAAAATATTCATGGGAAAAGTTTCATTTGTACCATGCGAACTTCCATCACTATTGCTTTAACAGTATTAACAGTACAATATAACAGCTGCTCACCAGGCATTCCCATTGCATCCAGAGATGACTTAATCCATGGGAGAAGAGTTGAGGACCCAGGGTTTTGGTATCTGTCAGTGGTCCTGGAATCAAGTCCTGCAGATACCCTATCTTGTTCTTATGTCTTTAGTGGCAGTAATCATATGTCTAGCCAGATCCTGCCTTCTCAGTTCTTATCCACCACCCTTCCAGCATTAGGGTTAATTCAGGCCTGAGCTCTTGTTCAGCTTTTTGTGTTCCCAACTGGAGTCTACTACTTGAGCCATGCTTCCAGTTCTGACTTCCTGATGGTTAACTGGAGACAAGAGTCTCGTCTCGGTCTCCTAAGTAACTTGGGTTACAGGTGTGAGGCACTGGTGCCTGGCTCTCTCTGTTGTTAACAGAACCATGTCCATTCAATCTTACATGTCAATTCTAATAGTCTTACATTACCACAAAATTGTGTCTAGCACAGACAAGACCATCTCTCCAGAATCTGTGCTCCCCCCTCTTCTTCACAGGGCTCTGTCTTTGTTTAGGGCAGCAATGTGTTCAACCGCAGACCCCCTCGCTGCCTCCACCACAGGCAGGAAAGATCTTGAGATATTAGCCAACGATGGGCTAGAAGAAGCTGCTGGAAGGTGACACAGAGGGGCATCTTTGGCTGGCACAACCTGTCTACCTTTGACTCTGCTCTTCCTGCCTAGTTGACACTGGGACAGAGCAGCTCTCTGGCCACAGGTCCAGCCAAAGAGATGACCTGGTCATCTCTTTCAAGTTAAGATCTGGCCAGTTAGCTCCAGAGTCAAGGGAGTATACCCTGGATCTGAGATCTGGATGCAAGTAAGTGGTGCTCCCAATCAGAACACACTCAGTGGGTGCTTCCAAGTCAGGACACACTCAGTGGGTGCTCCCAATCAGAACACACTCAGTGGGTGCTCACAATCAGACACACTCAAGGGTCCTACCAATCAGAACACACTCAGTGGGTGCTCCCCCAAGTCAGGACACACGCAGTGGGTGCTCACAATCAGGACACACTCAGTGGGTGCTTCCAAGTCAGGACACACTCAAGGGTCCTCCCAAGTCAGGACACACTCAAGGGTCCTCCCAAGTCAGGACACACTCAGTGGGTGCTCACAAGTCAGGACACACTCAGTGGGTGCTTCCAAGTCAGGACACACTCAAGGGTCCTCCCAATCAGAACACACTCAGTGGGTGCTTCCAAGTCAGGACACACTCAAGGGTCCTCCCAATCAGAACACACTCAGTGGGTGCTTCCAAGTCAGGACACACTCAAGGGTCCTCCTAATCAGACACACTCAAGGGTCCTCCCAATCAGAACACACTCAGTGGGTGCTCACAATCAGACATACTCAAGGGTCCTCCCAATCAGAACACACTCAAGGGTCCTCCCCCAAGTCAGGACACACCCAGTGGGTGCTCACAATCAGGACACACCCCATGGGTACTCACAGTCGGCCGTGTATTCCACCTGTGAGGGCTGCGTGGATGCCCCATCTGGGGTGTGTGGCGTGGGGGCAGAGCTGTCAGCTTGTGCTTTTCGGACAAGGGCTGCCAGGGGGTGATCTGGGTCCACCACCTTTAAGGGCTAGGGACAGAGAAGACGGTGTTCTGAACCACATACAACCCTCTCGTTGCAAAAGACTCAACTTCAAAGTGCAGATAATCACAGGAAGGAGAAGATTGTTCAAGCCAACTTGAAACTTCGTCCTTCCTCCAAGGAATTTCTGATTTCTAGTAAACAGATTTTATCCACCCATCAGGCATTCCCTATACAGGCCAGACAAACTTTATGGTTGCTGAAAGTTTGTTTAAACCTCACAGACTTCTGCTTTTCATATTACAAATGGTGGATTTCTTCCTAAGGATGAGGGGAGAGTCAGAAGTAAATACATCTAGGGAAGGGGCTGGAGACATGGCTCAAGTGGTAGAGCACCTGCTTAGGAGGCAAAGGGCCCCAAGTTATACCCCCAGTACCACTATAATAGAAAAAAACACACACATCAAACCGTACTTATTTAAATCTGTCTCCGAAGGTAACAAATGACTGAGCAGATGTTCTGAACACTCAAAAAAGCATAAATTCTGCAATGAAGTCTACATGGCAAAACCAGTTCCAAGTCTTCACTAAATTTCTACTTATTCTAAGTATCCTAGATAGAAAAATAATCTGCTTGTGAAATTTATTAATATGTGCAGAAAACAAATGCTCTGTCACCAAGCCCAACACAAAAATGTACAAGACATCTCAAAAACAATCAAATTACAGCTGAAACACACAAGAAACACCATGCTCGGTATTTTCCAAACTTAAACTGGCAGCAAATTTGTTATGCCATAAAAACACACAGATAACAATGAAACAAAGACCTTCATCAGCTCTTCGAGGCGGCTGCTCTTTTTGGAAGCGAAGAGAGATGGGTGCAGATAGCTCCCGTCTTCCTCATCATCCTCATCCTCATTGTCAGAGTTTGGACCTGACTCTGAAATAAAAATACGTACCATTAAAATCATACTAAAAATTTTGGTAGTGAAAAAAGAATACATGCTGCGAACACCCCAGAAACAGACAAGGGCTGGCTACTGCATCATGTTATTATTTCTTAACCAAGAAATCTGTCCACAAAACCTGTGGATAATATTACTTATTCCTTGAAGTTGTTCAGAGAAAAGACCAAGAGGAAATGAAGTGTGACCCTCAACCACTTCACAGACTCCCTTTAGGGAGTCCCTAGCCTAGAGGCACTAAAATAGGCATCTGGGTGCTGGTGGCGCATGCAGAGAATCCTAGCTGCTCAGGAGGCTGCGATCTGAGGACCAGGGTTTGAAGCTAGCCCAGGGAAGGGGGGGTGGGGGTGGAGGATCTGTGAGACTCCATCTCCAAAATAGCCAGCAAAAAAGCTGGGATAGAGGAATGACTCAAATGGCAGAAAATTAGCTGAGTGAACTAAGCTAGCCACGCAAGTGCGTCCGAGTTGAAACCAGGAAAAAACTTAAAGGGCAAAAACCTTACGGACTCATGAAAAGTAACATTAACCCGAGGGGACAGATGCCCTGTAGGGAAGCTGGAGAAAATCAAACCAGCATTAAGATTTATACAAACGGGCTGGGCACAGCTCTGTGGCAGCAAGCCAGACCCTGGATTCTATCCCTAGTATTGGTGTATGTGTATGAATGGACACAACTGAAGGGAAACATCTGACTTCAGCTGAAGAGAACAAGATTCAAGGTAACATACACACAGAAAGAGGCTTGACCAAGGACAACGAACCATTTTCATTTCTTTTTTTTTTTTTTTTTTTTGGGTCCGGTTGTGGGGCCGGAACTCTGGGCCTGGGCGCTGTCCCTCAGCTCTTCAGCTCAAGGCTAGCGCTCTACCACTTGAGCCACAGCACCACTTCCGGCTT